GGTTTTCCCCTGTCGGTTCACAGTTTAGCTATACTGCTAATATTTAAATCTGAGTTTCTTTTGGTTCACAGTTAAGATAAATTCAGCAAGTGTGTTTTTGCATGTTCATTTTAGCTGTAACGTTAGCATTTCATTACCCTTAGCTAAAGTCGTTTAACATCAGCATGTGCGCATCAATTAGCTTTTTGTTAAAGCTAAGTTAGCTTGTCTCTTTGCTATATTATTGTGTCTCTTATTATTTATAATAACTGCAACTGAGTTGTTGAGCTTAAAGGGTTATGCGTATGCTGAAAGTTTCAGTTAGTCTTGAAATGTAACACTTTTTTTCTCTGTTTTAGGTGTTCATGGAGATCTAATTAACGTTACAGGATTATGGGCAAGAATCTCAAGCATGAAATCATTGACCAGAGAAAGTTGGGCAGCTGTTGACAGCTTTCACAACAAATCAAGGTTGGTCCATATCTGTTATAGACTTGCATTGCATAGTTTTTAACAGTTTAAGTGATGAAAATGTATCGCAAAATGTTTACAATATTGGTTGTGTAATGCAATCAAAATTGTGCTTGATTGGTTCTGCTTTCTTGTGATCATTTCTTTAATTTTATTCAACAGTGATTCATTTTACTCCCCAACAGACTAAAGAGCCGACTGATACTAGGTCTCTGATGCTCAGAGGACTCCCTATCATTCATTTGGCGACAAACCTACAGATTTCTACAAAGTATGCTTTGTAAGTAACCTCGGTTTTCTCTCAGAATATCTAAAAGGACATAAAAACATAATCATTTCACCATTAATTGATAGTTCCTGTGTTTTATAAAACCTCTGAGAATAAAACCTAAACCATTAACTTATTATGATAGCTCTTTTAGCCACTTTGGGTGATCTGTTTGCTTAAAGGGTTAGTTCATCCAACATTTGCTCACCCTCATGTCGTTACAAACCCTTTGGACTCAAGTTTTTAAGAGTTAATTTTTGAAATACAGTTTTAAGTATAGTTCACCCAAAAATGACATTTTTAAAGTAAAATTTAAACTTTAAAGATTTTTAGCTGAAACTGTGGTCCTTGGTGATTGATATAAAACAGTCAATGGAAACTGTCATTTTTGATAGTTAAAAAAAACATGCACAGGCAGAACAAAATTAATACCTGTGGATCCTGACCATACATTGAGGTCTTACGAAGTAAAACAATTGGTCTGAGAAACATCCACAACCTCTGCAAACGGTCCTGAGCACATTCACGACAGTCTGGAGCGTGAGTTTCCTGTCGCATATAATAATGTATGCGCAGGAGCAAACTCACATGAGCAATCTTCCTGAAGTTGATTGCACAAGCAAATGATTTGTAATTTTTATAAAGGTTGTGGGATCCAAGATAAGTACACGCCGGTACCATTTTGATGATGACATGTGTAAACACGCTCAGGACTGTTTGCCGGGGCTGTGGATTAAAGGTAATAATGCTGTAAATAATGTTCAGTTTCTTGCACAGACTGATTGTTTTGCTTCATAAGACCTCAATATATCGTCAGGAGACACGGGTATTCATTTAGTTTTGCCTGTTTTTTGTTTGTCTGTTTTTTTTACTCCCAAGTGATGGTAACCATTGATTGCATTAAATGAATCGCCAAAGACCACAGTTACAGCTAATAATCTCTTAAGGTTCTACTGAAGAAAAACTCAGCTACACCTTGGATGGCCTGAGGATGTGTAAATTAAGAGCAGATTTTCATTTTTGCATAAACTGTTTTTAATGGAACATCATAAGTTTCTGTCCCTAATTTAAATAATCATTGTTGGAGACAGAACTCCAGCAGTCGTAACAAATTGCTTAACATTATTGATGGTTATGTAATAAGAAATTTCATGATTGTGCTCTTATGTTGTTAGGACTCTGATGACATTGGAATCCTCCTCATTGAGCATGAAGGTGACATGCTCTCATCTTCTCTCCATCTCAATCCAACCTCATTGAAGATCATCATTGAAGGAGAAGTTGTGATGGACAATATTGACGACTTGCCAAAAGCTATGTGCATTCTGTATGGACTTGCTTATGCACTGCATCTGACTTACGCACTGCATCTCAACTACCCTAAATCTATGAAGAACACATTCCAGTTCATCCAACAGGTACTTCTCATGAGAGAGAAGACGACTTGGACTATGCGCATAAACCTTGCGCGCGGTATACAAACGAACATGGAACAATACATTTATTAATCTGTGTCAATGTTAGTTAATAAAAAGACAAAAAGACAATCGTTGTTCATGTTTTTGTTGCTGTTACGTGACTTAGCGGTGTCTGACTAGGGGCGAGAGGTGGGCTGATGACGTGATGACTTCAGAAAATATACGGATTCGCTGTCCACATGAAAACGCAAGGGCGGCGTTTTCAGATTTATCCTCTCTGGGACCCGGTTTCAAAAAATATCGGTTTCACTCTCCCAAAACGCCTTATACAATACAAAATGTATGCGTATACAGCTAAACGCATCTCCGTGGGGACAGGGCCTAAAGTGTGTTCTGTCAATGCATATTAGTGCTGTTAGTGCTCAGTTAATGTGTGTTTGCACAATTCTTCAGCCAAGTTAAAACCTCCATTTTAATGCATGCCCATTTTTTAATGCATATCCAGGCAATCACAAGGGATATAGCATATATTGTTGAATACTGTGTTCATGTTTCTTCTACAAAATAGTTACAATTGTTAGTAAGCTGTTTAAAAGCTTATTTTTACTTGTCTTGTGGCTGACAAGTTTAATGCATTGTTGTGCTACCAAAAAACGTTTGTGCATTGAAATGTTCTTCTTTTTTCCAATTGATTTGAAACCATGTTTAATACAATAAATCTCAAAATCTGTCTAATTACATTGACATTACATAAATATAACATTTATCATTACTTAAAAACATTTGTTAATGTTATTTACTAATATATATATTTTTGTAGTTGTAACTTGGGGACTCAATGCAGCTTGTTCAGTCAAGCAGCATTTAATGACGAATAGCAGCGCTGAGGCTCTAATGATCTATTAAGTATTATAGATCGTGGGGGGAAGTCGTGGCCTAATGGTTAGAGAGTCGGACTCGTAACCCAAAGGTTGTGGGTTCGAGTCTCGTACCGGCAGGGATTGTAGGTGGGGGGAGTGAATGTACAGCGCTCTCTCCCACCTTCAATACCACGACTGAGGTGCCCTTGAGCAAGGCACCGAACCCCCAACTGCTCCCCGGGCGCCGCAGCATAAATGGCTGCCCACTGCTCCGGGTGTGTGTTCACGGTTTGTGTGTGTTCACTGCTGTGTGTGTGCACTTTGGATGGGTAAATGCAGAGCACTAATTCCGAGTATGGGTCACCATACTTGGCCACATGTCACTTCACTTTATTAAAACTGTCATCTCACTCTTATGGTCATTCTGACACAATGACAATGCTATCAACTCATGCTTATGGGGCTTTTATTTTGAAGTGTATCACCACAGGCGGGAATTGGAAAGGCAAATGGATGTAGTCGCAAATCTGTTTTGCATCTAATGAATACAAGTTTTTACTAGTAAGAATACAATTGTAGAGCTCTGTAACTAGATTTCTTACTAGTAAGAATTTAATTAGAGAGCTCTGTAATTACATTTTTACTAGTAAGCACTGAATTAGAGAGCTCCCTAATTTGTATTGTTACTAGTAAGAATTGAATTGTAGAGCTCTCTAATTTAATTCTTACTAGTAACAATGCAATTGCAGAGCTCTCTAATTCAATTAGAGAGCTCTCTAATTCAATTGTTACTAGTAAAAATCATGAATCTGTTTTTAAATGAATCACTCAGTAAGACAGAGTCGTGCTGCCACCTACTGGCCAAAACCACGGTCCCAGCACAAAAACACACTCAGCAAAATATCGCCTAATTAAGCTTATCAATTAAATTAGAGAGCTCTCTAATTATAATTGTTTCTAGTAAGAATTGATTTAGAGAGCTCTCTAACTGGCATTGTTACTAGTAAGAATTTAATTGTAGAGCTCTCTAATTGAATTGTTACTAGCAAAAATGCAATTACGACGAGTAACACTGGGGATATTTTAAGCTAAAACGGCTTGCCATAGTGTTGTGCTGTAGCTAATAAACAGTTGATGCTACAGTATGCCTAGTTTAAATAGCATCCTAAAACGAGCTGACGATTGCTCAGTGTATGAAAATGTACTAGGCTAATTCTACATGTCTGTGGCCAATCCAATCGATTTATCTTTACCCTGTAATGTTATTCAATGTCACTTTTTATCATATCAAAATCACCCACTTTCCAAGGTGGCTAACCATCTTAATTTCTTCATTCTTTCAAAACTGTACATTTGGTCAGAAACCATGTGTGTTATGAATTAATAATCAAATGATAGTCAGTGTTCACATGCATTTATTTACATTAGTATTCAAAAAACACGTCTTAACATTCAACAAATGAGGATAAGAACAATGATTTACAAAATGAAAATTCAATTTTTGCGTATCAGATTAAGCTAAAACTGGTATGAATGAGCAGACATTATATGGTCAAGTAAGAGTTGTTATTTATTGATTTTTTATAAGACTTATTGAATATTAATAGCTGAATATCATGCTTTTGCAGGCTGCAGTCATTATTTAGGGTTGTGTTGTTCTTTTCTCTGCATCCCAGTTTGCAAAACTATGAAAATGAGGTTCTTATTTTAATGCACTTTAAAGTCAGACATTCAACATTTGTTACTAGTACTTAAAATAAAAAGCAGTTTACATTCATTGCACAGAACAAAAAAAAATTGGTTTTATTTCTGGTTTTACACTTTATTTCGATAGTCCACTTTAGACATTCTACTAACTATAAGTAACTTTGTAACTACATGTCAACTAATTCTCATATGCAAAACTATGAAAATGAGGTTCTTATTTTAATGCACTTTAAAGTCAGACATTCAACATTTGTTACTAGTACTTAAAAAGCAGTTTACATTCATTGCACAGAACAAAAAAAAATTGGTTTTATTTCTGGTTTTACACTTTATTTCGATAGTCCACTTTAGACATTCTACTAACTATAAGTAACTTTGTAACTACATGTCAACTAATTCTCATTAATTTGCATCTACATGTCTACTAACTCTCAGAGTAGACTGTTAGGGTAGGTTTAGGGTTAGCAGAATAAGTTGACAAAGAAAGTGTTAGAAGATATTAAGCAGACAGTCTACTAATACTCTACTAACTGCTAGTTGACATGTAGTTGCAAAGTTACTTACTGTTAATAGAATGTCTAAAGTGGACTATCGAAATAAAGTGTTACCAAAAAATCGTTATTCGAAATAAGTTGTAATGAATAAGATTAAGTCTCTTTCTCTATTAATAGACGTATGATGATTTTAAAGGCTTGTGCTTTTGACAATTACCCTGTATTGAAACGTAGATGATCTTTTTCTTTCACAAAAGGCTCCATTCTTGAATTCATTACAACCAGCCACATAAACACAAACATTTCTGCCTAAAATCACACAACTGAAATATAAGTTTTGATTCGTTTAACATGGAACAGATCCTGGTAAATATAATAGAGGCGATTCATTTTAAATGATTAATTACTTGACATTAAAACGTAGTCCACCAAAAGAGAGATATGATTTAAATAAATAATGAACAATGAGGTAACAATGTCTCTAAAGAAAGTAAGACTGCATTTGTCACCTGTATCACTACTTGATCTGCATGCCTGCTCTGAAAATTGTATTTTTTTATTCTCGATGTTGTTGCAGCCGCGCCATGCACGGTATCAGCTGTTGCATACAGAGTTTTGAAAGGTTCTCAGAGTTACAGTATATATCATTATGTAGAGTGATTTAAGTAGTTACAGGTGACAAGTGCAACTCTTTTCCGCAGTCCATGCACCATATGTTCGGCAGAAATGTTTTCAGCAGGGCTGAGGAAATGTTCTATATATTATATAACAATTCTAATACATTACAACAAAAAAATGTCAAGGCCCTCCCAGAATCTATGTAAAACTACACAGATGCATGATGTAATACTTATTACTGTGAACCTGCTAATGCCATATTACGTTTGCTTCCCAGACTTCCCTCGTCTTAAAACCCACTAATTGGCTTTCCAGAAAAAAACGTCCAACTGCTAAACGAGGGGTTACTGACATGCCTTAACTTCGACTGTGTCCACAACAGCACTCAAAGACTCAGATCAATGATGATATGCTCAAAGATCTGTGTGCTGCCCTTAAAACTGGAGGCAAATACGAAGTCCCTCCGGTCAGTGGAGACCACAGTGAAGGAACGAGGAGCCTGGATGTAGACTTCCTTGAAACGCTCAAAAACCTTCTCCTCTGCATCCCACAGATAGATCTGCGAGAAGGTGTAGTCGCTTCCCAGAGCCAGGTAGTACCTTTCTTTGAAGGAAAATGGCTGCAGGATCATGGACCCTCTCGAAGGAAGCGCCTGGACCTCGGAGAACTCCTTAGCAGTCCAATGCAAGACTTTGGAGTCGCCGATGTATCGGGTCATGGCCAGATAAAGATCCTCCTTGATCCTGAAGGCCTTGACAGCGACTACATCTTCCATGTTTGGGATCTCTCCTTGCAAGGCAAACTTCTGAGTGCTCCTGCTCCACTGGTAGATGACCGGTACTTGGGAACGGCTCGCTAGGATAAGATGGGCCTTACCGTCCAAATTCACGAACTCTGCATCGGTATCACGAAACCATTCGTGAAGCGACTGGTAGGAGTAGAAGCCCTTGTCGTTCCATTTGTAGAGAGTAGAAAGTCCAGCCTTCGAGCTGTCAGCGATGATGAAGAACCAGTCGTTGCCGATCTGAAAGGCCTCGATGTCATTCGGCTTGGAAATCTTGGAAACCTCAATGTCCTGGAACTTTGTGAACTTGCTTTGGTCCTCATCAAACTTGTAGATGTGGGAACCACCAAAGAGTTGAGCAACGATGACAAACACCTGGTTCTGGATGATCACAGACTTGCAGCCAACTATGGACTGACCTAAAAGAGAACACATTGCATGATTTATTTGGCCATACGCAATCCTTCATATAATGGCTTTAACATGACTGTACCTGTGATGTTGTCGTAACTCCTGAAGTTCATCTCGATGTGGTCCCATTGGAGCACCATGCAGCTCTCTATGTTGGGAGCAGCGATGGCCACGTACACGTCGTTCTTGTGGGAGAACGTGTCCACAGACAAA